CTCCGTATATATATTAAAAAACAAATTGACGTACACTCATGAAAATTAACTTACAAATTACAAAGTTTGGACATTAATTAAGGGGCTTGGTATTAAACATAGAAAGATCGTAAATGACATAATCACCCTATACATTTGCACACGGTACGTTGACTAAATTTGATGATCTAATGGTTGATATCTATTCTTATTTCTCTCCTAAGATTATATTCTCACATGAACCTAAATCTCTCTCTATATATAAGGGAAAAATAATATAAATATCCGAAATTTTGAAGGCCTGTGAGCTAAACACCCCAAACTTGAATATGCAATTTAAATATCCCAAACTTTATATAAAACGTTATTTTTGCACCATTGTCATGTATTGTTTCTTTCAAAAATTTTAATTTACGGGGTTAATTGCATAATTTAAAATAGCAAATTAAAAGTGTTCCAATCATATAGATTGGGGGTAACACTACTTATTTCGCAGTGGAAGTTTAGAATGTAAGTTGTGTCTTCATGAATTCTAAAATATTTTAAATTATGCAATTAACACGATAAATTTACATTTTTGAAAAAAATAATATTTGACTATGGTGCTAAAATATCTTTTTCGCTATTTTTTATTAGTAATATTTTAGGAAAACCCTCTTATTTCTTCTTATTTTTTTGAAAAAACCTATTATATATATAATTATTCAATTAAATTACTTTAGCATTATTTATATATATGAACCTGAAAACGATAGATTTGAGAATTGTGCATTATATATAACAAATATATACCCATATATTAAAGAAAAAGCTATAATGTTGGAATATATATATTATAGATGAAGCTATTCAATTTTAAAAACTCCACTCTTATGTATTCCAATATTATATATATATATATATATATATATATATATATATATATATATATATATATATATATATATATATATATATATATATATATATATATATATATATATATATATAAGAGTGGAGTTTTTAAAATTGAATAGCTTTTTTTATATATAATATATTATATTATATATATATATATATATATATATATATATATATATATATATATATATATATATATATATATATATATAAGAGTGGAGTTTTTAAAATTGAATAGCTTTTTTTATATATAATATATTATATTATATATATATATATATATATATATAATTAATATTGGAATACATAAGAGTGGAGTTTTTAAAATTGAATAGCTTTTTTTTTAATTTATTGTGTTGCCACATGTCATGTTTTCATGCAAATAATGTTGCCACATGTCAATTACTCCTCCAAAAAGTTCTTCAAGGGTTTACTTTATTATATTATATAGATTTGAAATGTAAGAGATAGATCTTTAAGAGACGAGCTTAGGGTTTTTGGAATGAGGAAAATCGGATTACAGATGTATTTATAGTGATTTTTTGAAGTTGTGCGTGACCTCCAGACGCACCAAAGCTGATTTTTGCTTCGTTTCTTCCCCGTTTGGACCTCCCCTTGGTCCCAAACATCACACTAAACATTATAAACTATCTAAAGACCGTCTAAACGATACGAAACATAATTTTAAATATTCTCCAAATTTTCAAGGTATTACACAAGTAGTTACATCGGGCTGTTCGGGAACAGAAGATGGAGGAGGAGCCATGTCGTGCGAATGGGGAAGTATATCATGGCTAGGAACCGCAAGGGAGGAAGCTGGATAATCATCCATATACTCATAAAAGACAGGTGCCTCATACGTTTCTGTAGACTGAGGAACATCATGAGAAGTATCAGCGAAAGGAAAAATATTCTCAAAGAATTTGACATCCCGGCTGACAAAAAACTCTTTGGTGTCAATGTCATAAACACGCCAACCCTTTTTGCTAATATAATACCCAACAAAGACGCACTTGTTGCTGCGATTAGCAAATTTGTCACTTTTTGATTTTGAATTGCGAGTAAAGCATAGACAACCAAACACCCTCAAAGAATTGTAGTCAAGTAAAGTTCCAAATAAAATTTCAAACGGATTTTTATGAGAAAGGAGGACAGAGGGGGTCTGGTCAATCAAATGAGCCGCAACCAAAATGCATCCCCCCAGAACATAAGAGGGAGTTGTGCTTGGAAACGCAAAGCACGTGCCACGTTAAAGATATGGCAATGCTTGAGCTCCACTCGTCAATTTTGTTGCAGCGTCCCACCACAAGAAGTATGAAACACAATCCGAGTGTCATGGAAAAATGGTTTGAGACTATCAAATTCAGTGTCGTTATCACTGCGAACTATTTTAATAGTTTGCGAAAATTGTCTTTCCACCACATGCACAAAAGATAGGAACAATTTTAACACCTTTTTATCAAGTAATAAATATACCCAAACAGCCCGAGAGTAATCATCAACAATGGTCGAAAAACACTTAGCCCCTAAGGAAGCAGAAGTATTATATGGTCCCCACAAATCACAGTTTACCAATTCAAAAATCCGGGTAGATTTAGTAGTGCTCACCGGGAAAATATCTCTAGTTTGTTTAGCGTTGAAACAGATATCGCAGGGTAGAGAAAAATTATTTGCATTATTATTTAAAGGAGTAAGCCATCACATTACGGTCTGGGATGGATGCCCCATGCATCTATGCCATGTGTCATCTGATGAGATCCCATCCTTCATGTGAAAAATGCCTATCTGTGATATCTCTCGAAAATAGTATAGTTCGTTCCTCCGGTCACCCGCTCCAATCAGCTTGTTCGAGTGACGCTCCTGTATAACACACATAGTAGATGTAAACTAAACAAAATAATTCATATCATTGCTAAGTTGCAAGACTGAGATTACATTACAACCTATTTTAGGAACAAACAGAACATTATTTAAATAGATAAGATCCAATATTTTAATGGATCCTTTAGTGGCCGAAAATTTCTGGCCATCGGGAAGGCTGGTGGGTCATTCCATAATCTCCTCAACTCAGCAAAGAAGTGACAAAGTTCCAGTAACATGATTGGTAAGACCTGCATCAATTGTCCAGGAACAAAATCCGGATTTTCCTTCTATAAGAGCACCACCAGTTGTCTCGTTGGAAGTAGACAACTCTTCAACAACTGTGTATGCCTGAACCACAGACAGCTTCCCTCGGCCTCCTCCGTGTAGCGCATCTCTGCCTTGACCCGCAGTCGTGTTGCTGTCTCGTGGTCTGTCCCCCCACCAGTGGTACCCATGAAGTTCAAAACAACTACCCACATCATGACGGGAAGCTTTGCAGTGATCAGTACATGTTTGTCCAGCTTTTTCATTCCTGCGCTCTATTCTCTTTCCATGCCCATTACTCCATACCGCAAATCCCACCACTTCAGACGCATCTTCTCAGTTGCGAGTCATCCCTCTAACTCTTTCTTCTTGAGTCACCTAGAGATACGCTCGATTTAGAGATAAAAGTGGGGCATGGGTCAATACCGGAGATGTATAATATTGTTCTTAGTTGTGAGCATTTCATCTATATTATATAGGGAGTATGCATTGCTTTACTAGATTTATTTAAGAACTCTTATATCCAGGAAAACAAGTAAATCAGGTTGTTGATTATGTAACTCCATTCCCTCTGCATTACCCTTTGAGTAAGAACTTTTGCCTCACAAGACTAAAATCACAAGACAACTTATCAGGTAGGGAAAATTTGAGGGTTATACATGTTAGAACTTTGAACTAATTTTAACTCTAAGCTAAGGGTTAGAAGTAATCAATAAGATTTAACTAAAATGTAAATAGACATGTATAATAATGCATAATGATAATAAAAAGTCTAATGAAAATATTGGGTGATATGTTTGTTTTTCTATGTTGGGTAGGACCGAATAGTTGTTTTAAGTAAACACATGCATACAAGGAGTATAACATTGTCGCTTTGATTATAATTAGTGCGATCGGCAACTGAATTGCTAAAAAGTATATAACCTTGCCGCTTTAAGAGTCACACTAACTATAATCTTAATTCGATCGGCGACTAAATTGCTAAAAATATAAAGCTTTTAATTACAAAGTGATAGAAGTGCATATACTTTTAATATTTTATATACCCATTTAGTTCACAATTCAATAAAAGCTTAAAACTTTTTAAACAATGACACACTTTAAGAATGTATGTCATTATCATTTTCTAAACACAATCTTAACTGTTACTATTTATGGGAAAAGAAAATTATGGAAGAATTAATAATATTTCCTTCGAGGAATGGAGTATGCAACTGAATAATATTCACCAAGTTGGCAAGTTCAATACACATATGATACATGAAAAATATTTCCTTTGAGGAATGGAGTATGTAACTGAATAATATACACCAAGTTGGCAAGTTCAATACACATATGATTTTCTTGAAGGAAGAAACACAGTTCATTTGATACTTGATAAGGATTACAAAGTTTAAATTAGAGAAAAAACTAACTTATTATTCACACGTTCAATCTATGTCATGCCGTGTTGTTTGTATGTTGTCAATGACACACTAATTTGAACTTTGTAATCCTAATCAAGTTTTGGATGAACTATGTTTCTCCCTTCAATAAAATTATATCACATTTTTTCATGTGTATAATGAACTTGGGTATATTATTCAATGACATACTCTATTCTTTAAAGGTAATATCAATAATTGCTTCCATATTTGTCTTTTTCCATATATAGTAACAATTAACACTATGTTTAGAAAATGTCGGTGACATTGATTCTTAAAACGTGTCAATGTTTAAAAAGTTGTAAGCTTTTTATTGGATTGTAAACTAAATGTGTCGGTATATATAATATTAAAGTACACACACTTATATCGCTTTGTAATTAATAGCTTTATATTTTTAGCTTTTTAGTCGCTGAGTGAATTAAGATTAAATGTAGTGTGACTCTTATAAGCGTTGTCGCATAAATGAATGACACTTCAGTGAGCGATGATGTATTATCCGTACGTACCTTGATTATGAAATTGTTTTTTGGAACGGAGAATACTATAATAGTAATCAATTAATGACAACATGAATGTATACCAATACTAATACTACTACTAATAATAATCTATAATTTGAATGACAATGACCTATTAACCAAATTTCAAATACTCATTAATCCAAAATATTACCAATTTTTTATTGTTATTACTACATAATCTATATAAGTAGAGTCTAATCTCTATTTAGAATATACACTCATCAACCACTAAATCAATCTTCTCTTCACGCGCCAACCATGGCAAGAAGGAAAATAAGGTTGACATATATCGCCAATGAATCCCAAAGAAAAGCTTCATACAAGAAAAGAAAGAAAGGATTGTTGAAGAAGCTTGAAGAGCTAACGATCCTGTGCAGCGTAGAGGCATGCACAATCATGTACAGTTCATTGGAACAAGAGCCAATGGTGTGGCCGTCGGCGGAAGGCGTACAACACACGGTGGCTAGGTTCAGGAGCCTTCCAGATGTGGAGCAAACCAGAAGGAGCTCAAGCCAGGAGAGCTTTATTCATGAGAGGATTCAAAAGCTCAACACTACCATACTCAAGTTGAAGAAGGAAAACCGTGAGAAGGAAATGACAACGCTTATGTACAAAATCCTCGCCAGGGAACAAATTGATAGGCCGTTGGATGTTGCTGATTTGAATGACTTGGGTTGGGTCATTAACTTGCATCTGGCAGAAATTAATAAGAGGATCGAGACCTTAAAGATGAATAACACAAATGACGTTCAAGCCTCAACCCCAACTGGGCCTGATGTTCGAGAAGCAATGACGACTTCAAGCATGGTCAACTACAACCAAATTCCTGAAAACATGTTGAACAATGTTGTCATCTCGAATCCTATGCTTGCGATGAACAATAATATTGTCGAGCCGCCGCCTGATGTGGCGGGGTTGGATTACGAGGGTTGGACTCACTATATGAACATGATGAATAGAAAAGCCAACAAGCAAAACGATCCAACTCAAGCGGGCCCTAGTAGCTCAAAGAATTGAAACTATTTCATTCCTTGGCTATTTCACATGTTTTTGTCGCCTTATCGATATTACTTATAACGTTCTTTCTTAGTTGTTTCATTGAATGTTGATGAATTGGGTAGTTAGGCACTACATTCAACGTCATCTAAATAATGTCATCTTTGGTGGTTATGATTTTTCATTATTTTCTATATTTTATTGTGTCAATTTGTGCTATTATGCATTCCATTTTTATCTCACTTTTATTGTTATTATCACATATGAAGTACGTAATATATATTAGCAAAACAAGTAGTGTTATTCCCCAAAAGGAATTGAAAAGATTTGAAATTAAATTTTGAATTTTGAAAAGTAACCTCTAATCAATTCTTAACTATTTTCTATACATAATCAATAGACGAACCTAGTTCATTTTTTGAGATGAAGATCCTATAGTAAATGAGTGTATGTAATATGTGTGTGGACACATGTGTGTATAAATTGTCATTCAAATAAATGTACCATCAAGTGAAAAATATTATTAGATTGTTAGTGTCAAGAGTGTGGAGCTCACGAAATACAAAAAATGACAACTATTAACTTGTATATAAATGTAATTGCTAATTCAAAAACATTCACACACAAAATGCATGTCTAATCTATCTAACACTCATAATGAAAATGCAGTATGTAAATGCATCATTCTTGATTATAGTTCCTTGCCTTCTTCAAATAATAAAGACATTTTAGAATAAAGTAGAAATAGATTTTATGTATTAAAGTCCAAACCTAGGAATTCCAAAGATATAAACAAATTAAATAAGGTAAAATTTTTATCTAAAAGATTAGGTGGCACGTACTATGTGTAAATAAATCATCACATATTTTATGCCACCACAATAAGTGCAACAATTCAAATGCATAAGTCACTCAATTGAGTGGTTTTTAATAGATCGAAGGTTTAATTGGACCGTCACAGGGCCGCCACGCATGCGCTTAATTGGGAAACCGGTTGGTTACCTACTAAATCGCTCAATTCTAGTGGACGAGCTTGTGTATATATAGTAGTATTATATAGTTGTAACCAGAGCTTATATTCATTAGAAATATGCCTATACTTTAATAAATGTGAAAATTTGAATTAGTTTTTTCTTGTTTTAATATAGTAGTATGATATAGTTGTAACCAGAGCAGTTTTTTATATTTTTATATAATGAGTTGTGATAGTAGTGTTTTCTCATTGTTAATACTTGATATAGAGTTGGTATAAGTGTAAGTGTGGCTGAATTATAAAATTTATCAGATTATCAATGTTCTATAGGCAAAACCAATGTTTTAATCCTGTCTGGACAGGTCCATTTGTTGCTGAGTTAAGATGTTTTTACTTCAACTTATTTCAGTCCCAAACCATACCACATACCAGACCAAACAGACGAATTGAGACCAGACCAGATATGACCAGAAAATTTGGGTCCAAGTAAGAACATCCTTACACACACCTTATTCATTAATTGTTGAGTTACACACACACCTTATTCATTATGAGCATTTCTCCTAACTCAGTAATTGGCCGGAATGCTCATAAAAGGGATTATTTGCTTCTATTTTTTCACATGTTTCAATGTTACATTAGGTTAGATTAGGGACACCAAATGGTGGTACCAATATACTATCTCTGTTCCGTTTTAATCGCAACATGTTGAATTTTACACTATTCATATGCTCTACTTTGACTACATTTTACGCTATTATTTTATGAAAATTATTTTTTTAAAAAAATATTGTTCAATTCATCTCATTACAAATATTCAAAATCTGATTTTTAATTTTTTTTTACTAACAGAATTAAGAAATAATTACGGTCAAAGACATGCGTTGACAAATGTGAAATGTTGACCGTTGCAACTAAAAAAGAACGGAGGGAGTAGAATAGAAGCTTTAAGTACAAATTTACCACATGCATGAAAAATTGAATATAATTGAATATCATTCTCTTTCAAATTACCTCTAAAATTGGCGCAAGATGCCATTTCATTGGCTTGAAGATTGCAAATTTGCATCATTATGCAGAACTATTGAATTTTAGGTTTAGTGGATTGGTTTAACATTTAATTGTATGGGATGAGCTCTTTCCTTTGAACTCCATAGGCCTATAATTAATGGTAAATTATTATTAGGTGAACCATTGAAACCCTCTTGTGCTCCTGAGTCCTTACATACAAATAAAACTACTCACTCTGTCCCTAAATAAAAGCATCTGTTTACTTTTCGGGTCGTCCCTAAATAAAAGTCCTCCTTCCTTTTTTGGCAAGCAAAACAGTGCAAAACAGTGCCAAACAGTGCCAAACAGTGTCCAAACAGTGCCAAACAGTACCAACCAAACCCACTTTCTTAAGATGTGTGTAAAATGAATGAATACTTTTATATAGAGACGGAGGGAGTATTTGATTTTCGTGCCAGCTTATACATACAAATGATATAGTAAGTATTAATACAAAACCAATAGGGCATATAAATAAGCTGATGAAATTGCTAGTTCATGCCAGCTTACAGATTTTCTCGGGCATCAATATACCCAATTCAAACATATTCAAGAAGATGAAACAGACTTTTAACATAAAGGTAGCTTAATTGTTCAGTTCTGGAAGAGGAGATTGAATCGGTGAAGCTAATAAAACGCCGTGGTCAGATTTATCGTGTCCGAGAAGCTAAGAGCTGTTTTCAATTATTTTGAAATCAAAACCGGTTACAAAAATCAGAGTCTGGAATGAAGGATTTGGCAGAAGAGATTTGTAATTACCCTTAATGCAAATCACCCCTTATATAGGAGTTTCTGTCCGACCGTCATCATTTGGGGCGATTCTCTGTGGAATTTTCTGATGAAATTGTTTGAGCATCTTCTTTCTTAAGTCTAGTTTACCCACACCAAGTTTCAGATAAAATTTTAACCAGGAAGGCAATCAAATTATTTTCTGAAATGTACTGAGTTGTTTAACTACGCAGTTATCTTCAAAAAATCATTTGACTGCCTTCCCGATAGAATGTTTAGCTGAAATTTTGTATGATTAAATTATACTTAATGAAGAAGATGATGAAAAATTTCATCAAAAAATTCAACAGATAATCACCCCAAATGGCGACGGTCGGATAGAATTTCTATCTAAAGGATGATTTGCACTTTTTAAATTAGTTCGAGAGCGTATTTGACACTTTTTTCTCAAGAATATAGAGATGTTAGATAGATTATTATACTATCATTGTGGTCCAATTTATGACCGTCAATCGTCATTGCGCCTAGTTGATCTTTTCGCAATGTTTTCATGGATCTTTCTAATTGCTTAATACTCTTTTTTTAGATGACAAAGCTCAAAAGACATAAATGTTACTTTTACAAAAAAACAATGATGAAAATACGACTAAATTGAAAACAGTGAGATTTTTTATACTTTAGGCACTATAATAATAACTTTAATTATTATGTTCAATTTTACATCGCAGTCGCTTTGACGGTATACTCATAATAACATCAAATAAATTTTCGCTTGTAAAATTGATTTTTCTAGTACATTAGAAAACCTCCTTTATTTCATTTTTCACATTTCTACTTAATATTTATATCATCTCTGTTTTCCCTTGTTCCGTATCATTTCACTTTTTTCTCACTATGCCTACAATTTAATTCTTAACACTAGAGAAAAGCCTGTGAAGATATTAAAAATAAAATTAAAAATAAAGGGATGGAGTATATTTTATTAAGCATAACCAATAGTCCAATACTACGTACTTTAATGTGATTCGCTAAACAAATTAGGAAAAAATTGAAAATAATAATCCCAACTATTGCCGGTCCGCTAACAATTATCCCAACTATTGATTATTATTGTATAATCCCAACTATATGGACCGTCCGCTAATAATGGTCCATGACCGCATATTACATGCTCTAAAAAGTGATGTTTTAATAGAAATTAAGCGTAAAATTGAAATTCGGGATTATTTATAGGGATTACCTACTATGTCTCTTTAGAAACTATATGAATTTATTTATAATCGGTCACCTCGGACCATTATTGACGGAAGGGCCCTAAAGTTGGGATTATTATGAGCGGACCGCCAATAGTTGGGATTATTACAATCAATTTTTCCAACAAATTATTAACAAGCTAAATATAATACCATAAAAAACTTAAACATAATAATTTTAATTGGGAATATCGCACTTTTAATCACTCAATTAGTCACCATATTTAAATGTCAGACTCGTTTTTTAAGATTGTAAATGCCACCCCAAATTGACAGATGCGTTGTAAATGTCATCCCCGCCGTTTATAATCCATCTCCAATTTTGGCCTACCAATAAATTCATCGGGGATGACATTTACAACACATCTGTCAATTTGGGAGTGATGTTTAGAATATCAGAAACATGGGTCTGACATTTCAATATGGTGACTAATTGAGATATCAAAAGTGCGGTTTTCCTATTTTAATTAAACCCATAAATAAGCAAGACCGAAACCCCTTTTTACCAGTAAACTTGTGACAATTTCAAATATTACATTGACCAAACACGAGTTCTTTATTAAGAAATTTCTCTCGATAAGAATAATACGGAGTAATACATTGCAGTTTTATTTAATTGGGAGTACCATTGGTTTCTCCCGTAATAAAACTCGCATTTCTAGTTAAGAAAGTTTATAATAATATTTTAATAGGACTAAATACGTCTATGTTTGAGCATTGGAAGGAGTTAAGGAGACGTAGTCACAGCAATACAAAACATACCTTAAATCGACATTATGTGAAATTAAATGGTAAACTGCACAATTGGCATGCAATCAACTAATTAAAGTGTGCAATAAAACTTTAGAGAAGTACAGCATTATGTATTCAATGTTATCACAACCAAATTGTATTAATCGTATTGTTTTTAATTTACTTTCATTTTCCATTATTACATCTTTTTAATTAAAGAATGATATGATTAATGACTTGATGTTACACATTTCTTTTTGAAAATAACTCTCAGCTTGTCATTTTTTAGTTTTAAAGTTTCATGCATGTGAATATGTGGTACGGAGTAGATCAGATGTCATATAACGAGCTAATAAATTACTCCGTATACCATCACTAATACTTCCTTCGTCCCAAAATGATGGTCCTGTATTTCTTTTTTGGGATGTCCCAAAACGATGTTCTTATTTCCCTTTTTGGTAAAGAACTAAAAGTGGATTACCATTTATACTTCTCTTTTTTAATGAACAGTAAAAGTAAAAGGATGAACAGTACAATAAAGTAAGATTTTTTAGTCTTTCTACCACACTTTCTTGATCTTTGTGACCAAAAGAAACAATACCATCAATTTGGGATGGAGGGAGTACCAGATTTGAAGATTAAAAACGTTTATTTTCTAATTGTACATGATTTTTGGTGGTGGTGGGGTCCAACAAAGCTGTTGACACAGCTTATTAAACAAAACATTCTTTTCTTCCTCCACCAATGTATAAGTACCGAAGTACGATAGAAAATCTAAAAAGACACAGAAAGAGAGATCATGAAATACTCCCCACATTGGTGCCTTTCTTTAGAAGTCAGTATTCTCTCAAATAAGAATCTGGTTGCTTGTGAGTTGAGTTTGATCAGATTTCTTCATTATGAAAACAAACTGGTAGTAGAGGTCATCCTTTTTAGATGCTCATGATCTCATGCCTAAAGATAGTGAAGTATCACTAAGTGCATTTGTAGCAATCTAGAAGTTGAACAAGTTGATTTCCGAAACCAGCTAAACTACCCCAAGACAGCCCCAAAGACCAGAAGCAATGCGTTTAAAAATGCAGCAAGCTAATTACCCCAACCCCCAAGATGATGACTTTGCGCTCAAGGACATGAATCCACAATTCGGAGGAAGAGGTTGGATGGGCAACAAAAGATACACCACCAGCACACACGATCTTGTTGAGCAGATGTTTTACCTCTATGTCAGAGTTGTTAAAGCCAAGAATCTTGCCAGCGTTGAACCTTGTTACGTGGAATTGAAGTTGTGGAACTACATAGGAAAGACAAGGGACGCCAATAACCAAGAATGGTCACAGGTATTTGCATTCTCTAGAGACGTCCTCAAATCATCAATTCTTGAAGTTCTAGTTAAGGAAAAAGGCATGGAAAAAAGCCCCAATTACGTCGGAAAAGTCGAGTTTGACTTGAACGAGATCCCAACAAGGGTCCCACCAAACAGCCCCCTCGCTCCTCAATGGTACAATCTAAAGGACCCTTATGGTGAACTCTGGGGAGGCATCATCATGCTTGCAGTTTGGATGGGGACACAAGCTGATGAAGCCTTCTCAGAAGCATGGCATTCAGATGCTGCACAAGTTAATGGGGAAGGAGTTGTCAGTGTCAGGTCCAAAGTTTACGTCTCTCCTAAGCTTTGGTACCTGAGGGTAAGAGTAATCGAAGTGCAAGACATCATTGTGAAGAGCAGAAACCGTGTCCCTCAACTCCGCGTGAAAGGGCAAGTTGGAAACCTGCAGGTACTAAGAACTACCATATCCCGTGTTGAAAATCCACCAACATGGAACGAAGATCTGGTGTTTGTAGTAGCAGAGCCATTCGAGGAGGAGTTGGTCCTTACTATTGAGGACCAAATCAGCGGGACTATGAAAGATGAGGCACTTGGAATCATAGCTCTGCCTTTGTCCACGTTTGAGAAGAGGATCGACCACCGACCTGTCCAATCTCGATGGTTCAATCTCAAGCACTTTGATTGTGAGTCCTTGGAAGGAGATGGGAAAAAAGAGCCAAAGTTCTCGGCTAAAGTGCACCTAAGGATCTGTCTTGAAGGCGGGTACCATGTACTAGACGAATCAACTATGTATGTGAGTGATCAAAGGCCAACTGCCCGACAGCTTTGGAACCCACCTGTTGGGATATTGGAAGTTGGGATACTAGGGGCTCAAAAGCTTCTTCCAATGAAGATGGAGGTATTAGGAATTGTTACTGAGTTTTTATTAGTTACGTCCTATGTTTTCCTATTTGGGAAGTTTTATAATATTTGCTCCACTTTCCTATTTTGACAAATATATCATATTAATATACACAAATATCACATACTTTTTCATTTGTTACTTTTTATTAGGTACGTTTTCCATTTTTTTCTACTTTTTCATCTACTCTCCTACTACTAACTACAGCTACACATCTCTTCATAAAACCAGTGAAAGAAACTACTACAGCATCTAAAAAATCAGAGTCCGGAGGGGGGTATTAGTTATCAATATTTCCTAGATACGTGTTGTTGATATATCTTTTAAGGTGGAGACTTTACTAGTTTATTTTCAACACCAACTCTCATGACTACTCTATATCTATGAGTTCCTTCTCAGGAGCCCATGTATGTATACATTCATGTACCCAGACTAGCAAATAAGAAAATAAGCTCACATGGAAGTATGGTGGAACCGTGGAACCCATGGAACTCACATGAAACCCATATGGGATCCCATAATATATTTTCACATTCACGAATGTGGTCACATTAAAATATGCTCACATGGCTCTATATAGTTTCTCCTACTTTACCCTCTCACTAATAAAAAACATTTGCATTTACTGAAGGACGGACGTGGACGCACAGATGCATATTGTGTAGCCAGGTATGGTCAGAAATGGGTAAGAACCAGAACCAATCTTGACACATTTAACCCCAGGTGGAATGAGCAGTACACTTGGGAAGTCTACGATCCTTGCACAGTTATAACACTAGGAGTCTTCGACAACTGCCATTTGGGAGGAACAGGAAAGGCAACAGCGGTACGAGACTCTAGAATTGGCAAGGTGAGGATAAGGTTGTCCACTCTGGAATCCCACAGAATTTACACCCACTCCTACCCACTCCTTGTACTTCATCCCTCTGGGGTGAAGAAAATGGGAGAGCTCCATTTGGCAATGAGATTTAGAAGCCTCTCTTTAGCAAATATGATCTCGGTATACGGACGCTCTATGCTACCCAAAATGCATTACCTCCAACCCATTAAATTCACCCAACTAGACACCTTGAAACACTACGCTATGAACATTGTGGCATCAAGACTAGCCAGAGCTGAACCTCCGCTAAGAAAAGAAGTAGTTGAGTATATGTTGGATGTTGGGTGCCACTTGTGGAGTATAAGAAAAAGCAAGAGTAACTATTTAAGAATCATGTCCCTTGTCTCGGGCATACTCTCATTAAATAAATGGTTCACTGACGTATGCCAATGGAGAAACACGGTCACCACGGTTTTGGTTCACATCCTCTTCCTCATCTTGGTTTGGTGTCCGGAGTTGATACTCCCCACACTTTTCATCTACATGTTCTTTATAGGACTATGGAACTACAGGCTCAGGCCGAGATACCCTCCACATATGGACACTAGACTTTCATGTACAGATGTAGTGAGTGCGGATGAGCTCGATGAGGAGTTCGACACGTTCCCTACCACAAGGGAACAAGAAGTGGTCCGGATGAGGTATGACCGAATGCGGAGTTTGGGAGGGAGGGTTCAGGTGATGGTGGGAGACATAGCAACACAAGGGGAGAGGATTCAGTCGGTATTGACTTGGAGAGACCCAAGAGCAACCAGTCTGTTTATCGTGTTCTGTCTTTTTGCTGCGGTAGTGCTGTATGCAACTCCTTTCAGAGCTGTTGCTTTAGTTTCAGGCCTTTACATCCTCAGACCTCCCAGGTTTCGCAGCAACATGCCAGGTGTTGCTAGTAACTTCTTCAAGCGCTTGCCAGCTCGGACAGATTGCCTCCTGTAAAAATAAGATTTACACATACATCATCAAAGAATCATGTGATCTTCCAGCTTAAGTACTAGTGTACTACTAATCTAGTAGAAGCATTTCGTATAAGTTTCTTTAAAGCATTTTGTCGAGCACCTAAATTGTCCGGTGTTGCTAGTAACTTTTTCAAGCGTTTGCCAGCTCGGACAAATTGAATCCTACAAAAATTGAATCCATACATCATCACATAAAAATATGATCTTCGGTCTTCTTCAACCTGAACTCCTGAAGTATTAATGTATTACGGAGTATTGTACTGGCCGGCGGTGGGGGTGGTCACCGGCGCTGGTCATCAGGCGGTGGTCACTGAAGCAGGTCAGCTGGCGGTGGTCACTGGCAGGGCTGGTTAGCGGTGGTCACCTGGGGGTGGCAGTGTACATTAGCCGGTGACAATCATTGTTGGGTCGGGTAACAATCACTAATTCACTCGACTGTCAAACTTTTAAAATCAACTTATACTCCACTCACTATTATTCATGAACTACCATCTTTATTCGTGTCCTAAAATGATTTTGTTTAGTTTTATTAACGAAAAATTACTTAACTAGTCGATTTAACATTGCTTAAAATCATATTCTAGTTTATTGATTATGACTTATTTTTGAACTAATTATCTAAACATGTTTCCGGTTTATATTTTCCCATAAAAAGAACATATTTTTAATAAATGTCTCTTACATTCAATTGAAATTAATCTATTTTTAAATACACAAAAAGAAAATGCTCAATTCGTATATTTATCCATTATATTTCATCTGTGGCTTACTTTTATTTTCTTCAAAACTAACAAAACATTTTTGTACTTTATTTATCTCAAAATAGGTGTAGTCAATTTTTTAAAAATATTAGCCCTTTCAGTCTTCCTGGTTTTAGAAATTTCAAATTAGTCTTTTGATCTTTTTCTTTAAGAAAAGAGTTTCGAATATATATAGTTTTGTAACATTCCGATTTTAATGAAGGCGATGACGCAACATTAGGTTGCATATTGTGATTGACAACAATCGATTCATTTTTCATTAGATTCAGTTATTAAAGGTATATATGATTTTATTAAAATAAGTGTTATTGAACGAAGAAAAGTTGCATGCTTGAGAGATTTAATGGACATTTTTTACCTATAAGGTAAAATGAATAAAACCTATAAAAAAATTCTCATCACATCAAGATGATAGCTATAATCGAAACATAAACATGTTAAATTATGCAATGAAAAATAAGACAAACCCCCCATATTCAAAAATGAAAAATGATCTCAATTTTAATGATCAAATAGTATTATATTGAAGTTACTTCATCAGTTAAAGAATTACTTTGTCCCTATCATACACGGTGTAACTTATTTACCTAACTCTTAACCATCGCTTTTAGTGTCACGATATGATTGTTATATATGTAATTAATAAAGCTTTCTGAAAGCTGAAACTCTCGACCAAAATATATCAACATCATATTAATATATACACTTAAGTAATAATAACTTTTACTTTCATAATAAATGAGATAAAAAAAATGATTCCAATTGAAAATATCCTTGATAAGAATGGTGAACATAAATTTGATATAGCATTAAAATAAATACAATACTCGCACTAATAATGTAGTATAACATAGTAAGGTTCGTATTTAATACTCAAAACAAATACTCGCACTAATACAATACTCACACTAATAATGTAGTATAGCGTAGTAATGTTCATATCCGCAGGGAAACGAATACTTCTCTTTTATAGAACTAGTAAGGGGGGGGGGGGGGGGGGTAAAGTTGTTGTTGAACTTGAAGTATATTTAAACACTAAGTTGAACGACTTATGTGGTTTAATTAATTAGAGATGGAAACTTGATTTTGTTTATATCCACTTAATGAAATGTTCGTCGATCCTGGTTATATCTTTAACTTTTCCTCTCGAATACTCAATCGAGGAGTATCTCAAATTCATCGAGGGTAGTTCGTTATTAATAACGAGACACGTTCATTAATAAAACTTACTATCAAGTCAATATAGAACACGCCCGTATATTGACCTGATAGTAGCAATAAAACCTAAGATGAAAATGTTTGAGATTGATAACCTCAACACAAGCGGTTTCATGGTTTAAACAATATAATTAAGAGATATTATCCGAAATAGGACTAAAGCAGTTTGAAAATTCCAAAATAGGAATGCCATGTTTTTATTCCCAAAATAGGACTAATTACTGTCATGTTTTGGCAGTACCAGTCTACCAGACTTCAAACATGACAGTATTTTCTAAACATGTCAGTAATTAGTCCTTCCAGCCTTTGTGGTTTTAGAAATTTCAAATTAGTCTTTTGATATTTTTCTTTAAGAAAAGAGTTTCGAATATATAGTTTTGTGACATTCCGATTTTAATGAAGGCGATGACGCAACATTAGGTTGCATATTGTGATTGACAACAATCGATTTATTTTTCATTAGATTGAGTTATTAAAGGTATATATGATTTTATTAAAATAAGTGTTATTGAACGAAGAAAAGTTGCATGTTTGAGAGATTTAATGGATATTTTTTACCTATAAGGTCAAATGAATAAAACCTATAAAAAAAATCTCATCACATCAAGATGATAGCTATAATCGAAACATAAACATGTTAAATTATGCAATGAAAAATAAGACAAACCCCCAATATTCAAAAATGAAAAATGATCTCAATTTTAATGATCAAATAGTATTATATTGAAGTTACTTCATCAGTTAAAGAATTACTTTGTCCCTATCATACACGGTGTAACTTATTTACCTAACTCTTAACCATCGCTTTTAGTGTCACGATATGATTGTTATATATGTAATTAATAAAGCTTTCTGAGAGCTGAAACTCTCGACCAAAATATATCAACATCATATTAATATATACACTTAAGTAATAATAACTTTTACTTTCATAATAAATGAGATAAAAAAATGATTCCAATTGAAAATATCCTTGATAAGAATGGTGAACATAAATTTGATATAGCATTAAAATAAATACAATACTCGCACTAATAATGTAGTATAGCATAGTAAGGTTCGTATTTAATACTCAAAACAAATACTCGCACTAATACAATACTCACACTAATAATGTAGTATAACGTAGTAAGGTTCATATCCGCAGGGAAATGAATACTTCTCTTTTATAGAACTAGTAAGGGGGGGGGGGGGGGGGGGGTAAAGTTGTTGTTGAACTTGAAGTATATTTAAACACTAAGTTGAACGACTTATGTGGTTTAATTAATTAGAGATGGAAACTTGATTTTGTTTATATCCACTTAATGAAATGTTCGTCGATCCTGGTTATATCTTTAACTTTTCCTCTCGAATACTCAATCGAGGAGTATCTCAAATTCATCGAGGGTAGTTCGTTATTAATAACGAGACACGTTCATTAATAAAACTTACTATCAAGTCAATATAGAACACGCCCGTATATTGACCTGATAGTAGCAATAAAACCTAAGATGAAAATGTTTGAGATTGATAACCTCAACACAAGCGGTTTCATGGTTTAAACAATATAATTAAGAGATATTACCCGAAATAGGACTAAAGCAGTTTGAAAATTCCAAAATAGGAATGCCATGTTTTTATTCCCAAAATAGGACTAATTACTGTCATGTTTTGGCAGTACCAGTCTACCAGACTTCAAACATGGCAGTATTTTCTAAACATGTCAGTAATTAGTCCTATTTTGGGAATAAAAAACATGACAATCCTATTTTGGAATTTTGAAACTGTTTTAGTCCTATTTCGGGAACTTTCCCTATAATTAATCACGCTTAGATTATAAAGCATGAGACGCATTCATTAATCATCCAAGTTTACTACCGTGAAGGGATCGAGCGATTAACAAGCGTATTCATCGATCGATTCTAGTGAAACAAAACTAATTGATTCTTTAGGTAATGCTCAAAATATTAATATGAAATGTGAATAGGAATGTAATTAATATTCAAGGAAGACGATTAAAGAAAACAACTCACAACTTACGAATCATAAGCTTCAACGTAGCAAAACTGAGATGGAAGAGTTTAGCTCCTCATTTGGAGAC